AAAGGAGACGTCTGGGACACATATTTGTGAAAATAAACAACATGCCGGCCAAGCAAAGCAGAAACTGTAATCATGGATAACTGCAAAGTAGAGAACCACATGTTCTCTGATGGCCTGTTGGGGCCAGAATCTAAAAAACAAGAAGCTCCACACTGGATTGCAATAAGACAATAGGTGCAGTTAGCTAGAGGAAAATGGAATATGAACTTCAACCCTGTATATGCAATTATTGAATTTACAAACTGTAAACAACAATACAATACAATATTACAATACAATACATTTCTTTTCCCCACCAGTGGTTGTGTGTAAAGATGGGATGTGCGATTGGTTGGTTGGTTCATCAGTTAATATGATGACTACAAGTCTGTTTTCCCTATTAGGGGATATGTTAACAGTTAATAAGTGCAAGATATCTCTACAAACACTGGCCAGATTGCAGTTGTGGAGTGCGTCTGTTGAAAAAGTGCAACTGTATACTGTATTCACAAGGTAAAGTGAAGTGAAGTTCATTGTACAGGCTGCTACAGCTCAAGTCTGATGTGGTAAAAGAAAACTTCTTCCTATTTGTTTTACATACAGACAATCTAAAATACATTCCTTATGGCATTAGCTTAAAGTAGTGATACAAGCCCCCCAAAATTAACATTATGGATTTATGTTTTCCAATAAAATAGATTATTAATATTGCTTAATTTACATTAAATCAATCAATAGCAAAGATAAATGAATATTGTTGACACCATCATTAAAAAAGTGTCTTGCCTTTATAACATCACAAACAAAACACTTGCACACATTCATTCCCCCCGTCAGGCTCCCATATTGTTAGCACGTGACTGAGTATGAGATAAAGCGGGAGAGAGAAGCGGGGGGGAGGGAAAGAGAGAGTGACAGTGAGCATGGATGAAAGTGAGTCTATGTGTGTGTCTGGACATGTGAGTGTCTGTGTGAGTTAACGTATCTGTGCAGCGCGTTTGCTCTCTAGCTCACAGGGCTAAGACCTATTTATACACCCCAACTCCCACGCTCTAGAAACACTCACCCATGACATTTGTTTCTATTCTTTCTCTTCCTCACATCATCTTCTCATTCCTCAACTATTATCACATCTCTTATTCGTCTCTCATCACCATCATCCCCGGACAGGTATCACACTGCAGGGGCATGCTACCGTGGCCTCGGCAAAATGCCTTGCTCTCAGGTCTTACAAGTGTAGAATTGAATTGAATAGAGCGGACAGATCAGGGTCACTGCTGCCAAAAAGGTGTGATTCTCTTCTCTCAGTCGCTAAGAGCCTTTAGTAGTACTAAAGAGCTGCGCCCAGGGATGTACTCTGTTGAGGATGTACCCAAATGTGAATTCTGGTTTAAAATAGATACCTTCTTCACAAAATCCACCTGCAGGGAGCCAAGCCTTAGGATGGCTGAGGCTGACTGGCATGCAGTAGCAGGGACGGAGGGATGGAAGGACAGATGGACGCATGGGCTGATGGATAAACAGTAAAATCATCAAAGGGAAGGGAACAGAGGCGAAGTTAAGGTGATGAGAGAGCACCATATTGTGTTGCCAACCGTGGGAATGGTGATGTTATGTAATGGTGCATACACTCTAGACAGAGTCATAGAGCCAGGGGCAGTGGCTTTAGGGGAAAGTCGGATGGACCCCTCGCCTGCTAACGGGACTTCTTAAATGCTTCTGCCATCAGCATTCTGTTGCTTGCGTAACACCCTCTCCAGCCCTGGGAACCCAGAGGAAACACGTGGCCACTAAGAGGGTTCCTTCTGGCTGATGGGTGATTTCTCATTCCCTCTCTTCCTCTTTTTTTCCCCATTTCTCTCTCCCTCTCTCTCTCTCTTACTCCTTCTTAGCAACAAAGGGGTTTTTCCTTCACAGCAAAAGAGCCATTAATTTAACATGCTCAGGGACAGCAGTTCCACTGAGGATAGAAGGATGGCAAGAAAAAAGAAAAAAAAAGGGAAAGGGCAGTCTGTTAGGCATATTAATGCATATACTGTAAATGTGATCTTCTCAGAACATGTTAATCATTGAATATAAATGGCGCCATTGGGGACAGCAGGGATAAACAACATCTGGGGTGGTGCGAGGAAGGAAAGCAATGCAGCCCACCTTCATGCCCATAGACAAACATATGTAATGCGTACATGTATTAGCACATACTAGCTCACTCATGCTTGTATGCTTGCAGAGGCGACGTCTTTGGAAGATTTAAAATGCCATAATAAAAATTTAAAAAATCAAACGGTAAAGTATTACACATTGCTATGAGACCGTCCTCCGGAGAAGAACAACAGCTACAGTCGTTCAAAACAATATGTTTATGCTCAAGTGACAAAGCACTTTATCAGCTGTATGACAGGCGCTAAGATGATGATAATATAGAGCGACAAAGTCAGCAGATGGAGGAGGTCGTGGAGTCAACAAAACATCAAACTGGAGACCGCTGTTCATTTCCTGTTTCCAACCGACAGCCAACATTTTTTTTAAAGCATGGCCACAATCAAGCAATATTTTTTGTTAAAATAAGTGTTAAACAGATTTATATTCTGACTGTCCCATCACTGACATAGAGCATTCAGTGCTCCCCCCAGTCCCTCTTTCTGTGCTCTTCTTCTAACACGGAATGGGAAGTTATGGGTCGCGTGTGAGTAGTAAATAGATGATAAGCAAGGAATCCTTTAGGCGTAGCAATACCGTTGTGAACTGACCTGCCCATTTCTCCAGTTGGTCTGTTCCATTGGGCACAATAACAGCGACCTCACCACACATCATGGTATGCACTTGGTTCCCACTTTATCCAGTCCTCAATGCATGGTCTATGGCAGGCAGCAGTATTTCAGTCTGGTGATGTGGGGAGGAGGGAGGGGACTGCTAACTACAAGAAAGGACAGTAAGTCAGCCAAAATGCTGATTTCACTTACGACACCTTTAACCATACCTATTATTCCAACAACAAAGATCCCCTTTAGCTTGAACTCTAACCTTATCCCTTTAACCCTCATGATGAGGTTGCAAGGGAGCTTTTTCCTTCTTGGGTGGAAGCACATTGTCCATGTCCAAATGAACAATCAACAATCACAATCAGCTGTCTAATCATAAATCATGAAAAAATGTCACAGTGAAAAAACATTTATTATTATCAAAGAAAAAATAGGTAAATCATTTGACATTTCATTGGCATTGAATTAGGAAATGCAAATGCAAACATTAAAAAGAAATACAACAGTGTATATTGTATTGCACTGTGATTCTCTGTGTGCTTTGTTTTAATTTAGACACTTAAAAGCTTCCATAGTGAATCCACACATGGATACACTAAAAAACCTCTTTATTATTATTATCATAACCTATGAACATAATAGTTTGGATGGTATTGGGTATAGAAATAATTTAACACCTGAAAGAGACTATAGCTGCCTGTAAGACATTCTGGAAGGGAAGGTCATCAATTTATCTATCCATTCTGCACATGTCCTTCCTCCCCCTTAATCTATTTTTTGTTCAGCCTCGGGTTCCTTTCTTCCTCTCATACTTCCTTTGCTCTTTCCTCTCTCCAATCTGTATTTGTAATGTATATGATGCCCAACACAGTGTCTGATATTTTCGAGAAGTGTGTTTTGATAAACACGTAGTGGCAAATGGCTTCTTAGAGGCATTTGAGGGGAGATCAACACAAATCACCACTGAAGAAGATGATGTGAAGTTCAAAGAGTTATAAAGCCACCAGAGATTTGGTGTTGCTATGGAGATGAGTGATTCTGTGTGTGTGTGAGCTTCACCTGATGTTTTGGGTGGGTGGACTAAATCTGTCACTGTAGCCACAGCTCAATAACTGCTTATGTGCTCATTTTGATCCACTGGAAGGTGTTTAAAGGAAATATAATGTATGTCACAGAGAGGATTGTAACTATCTCTCTCTCTCTCTCT